GCTGCTCCAACCACCACCACTGCTGCTCCAACCACCACCACTGCTGCTCCAACCACCACCACTGCTGCTCCAACCACCACCACGGCTGCTCCAACCACCACCACTGTTGCTCCAACCACCACCACGGCTGCGCCAACCACCAGCACAGCTGCTCCAACCACCACCACGGCTGCTCCAACCACCACCACTTCTTTTCCAACCACCACCACCGCTGCTCCAACCACCACCACTTATTTTCCAACAACCACCACTGCTCCTCCCACCACCACCATCACAGATGCTCCCACAACCTCTACAGGTTTTTCAACCACCACAATAAGTCCTGTGGGACTTTATAGGTCATCGATTCCTCCTTTAAGCAAACTTCCTCTACAATTCTCTGTTTATGGTAACATTTACAAAATTCTATACTTTATAAAATTCTATTTTATAAAGTAACCTTCAATTTTCTAACATCTTCTCTGATGTGTGATTTAATTTCCAGTGGATTCCTACCATGCTCCCTCTTGTCTTGATGGTGATTACTTCCCCGTTTTCCTGGCACCAACTCCAGCTAATAGAGCTTATCTTACTGCATTTTTAAACCAGCCTTTTGAAATTGAAGTGAGGTCAAAAGCTCAGTACACAAGGTAAGCAATTTAATTTTCCTTTTTTAACTACAGTATGCCTGTAACTTACTAAGCATAACACTATGACCATCAGTGTACTGCCAAAACAGCCCTGGCCCATATAGCCCTAAACTCCACTAGATATCTAGAGGTCTGTTGCTGTATCTTTGGCCCAAACATGTATCTCTCCTAAATTGAAAAAAAAAATGACCAATGAACCATCATCTTATTTATTTGCAAAGATGTTTGGGTTGCCTCGCTTGATCCTCGTCTGAAGAAGTTGGCTCTTTGGACATGGAATGTCATTTCTCATTGGGAGAAGGAGCCTGAGGTAGTGCGCGAGGTTGAGAGGTTCAGGCTAGTTATAGTCGGACTTGACGCATGTTTCTGAAATCAGTATCCTTGAGGGGGGCTGGACTTTCTTTCACTCTGCAGTTGCCCCTTATGAGAGGTGCAGAGCAGGAGTGGGCATACTTGTTTTCCCTCATCTTGATGCTTATAAGTTGGGGATTACTCCGGTAAATGAGGGGGTTTTCTCCCTCCGCATAGGTGTGGGGGGACAGGTTCTGACTAGTGTTTCTGCTTATGTACCAAGCAGCAATTCAGATTACAAACCATTGTTGGAGTTCTTACTGGAGACTCCCTTGCTCTTCTGGGGGACTTCAACGCTTATTTGGGCAATGGTAAATGGCCTGTTCTTATATAGCATTTTTTTTTAAGTCAGAAGACTTCGTCAAAGTGCCTTGCACTACATTAAGTCATTCATCCATTCACGCACACACTGAGGGTGGCAAACTACATTGTAGCCACAGCTTCCCTGGGGCTCACTAAAAGAAGCAAGGCTACTGTACACCGGCACCACTGGGCCCTCTGACCACCATCAGTTGGCAACGCAGGTGAAGTATGACAGTGACAATGACTCGATTGGTGTTCTGTTGTTTGACTTCTGTGCTTGTCATGGATTGTCCATAACGAACAGCATATTCAAGCATAAGTGTGTCCATATGAGTTCTTGGCTCCAGGACACCCTAGGCTGTAGTTCAATGATCCACTTTGCTGCTGTTTCATCTGATTAAAGACCGCACGTCTTGGACACTCAGTTGAAGAGGGGTGGAGCTCTCTACCGACCACTTCGCGGTTGTGAGCTGGTTCCAATGGTGGGGGAGAATGCTGGTCAGACCTGGTAGAGCTAAACGTATTGTGAGGGTTTGCTGGAAACACCTGGCAGAGTCCCCCGTGAGATGGAGCTTTACCTCCCACCTTCGGGAGAGCTTTGAACATGTTTCAGGGAAGTTGCAATACATTTGAGTCTGAGTGGACCATGTTCCGTGCCTCTATTGTTGAGGCAGTAGTCAGAACTGTGGCCGTAAGGTTGTTAGTGGATGTCCAGCAGCAACCCTCGAAGACGCTGGTGGGACACCAGCGATGAGGGAAGCTATCAAGCTGAATAAGGAGTCCTACTGGGTTTTATTGGCCTGTGAGACTCCAGAAGCAGCTAATGTGTACCGGCAGTCAAAGCGGCAGGGGAATAGGCTGGTTGCTGAGGCAAAAGCTCAGTTGTGGGATGTTTTTCATTGACTCATCAGTGGTATATGCCATGTATATATTTATCCTCAAATACTTTTTTATTTTGTTTAGAGATTTTTTTATTACTTGTTACTTTCTCACATCAATCTTATGCTGTCTTTTAGGATCAATGACCTGATTGTTATAGGCCCTGCTGGCATAACAAAGGAGAAAACTTCCTCTGATGCCTACATCTTAAAATGGTACCCAACTTCAGATCAGCTGAATGAGTATTTCCCGATATGCTTCATATCTGAAGCTAGAGACGAGTAAGTTTTAAAACTATTGTATTGCTGATTTAAAGTTCTATACCCAAATTCCCAACATGTATTTTAAAATAGAATAGCATTTTATCTATTTTACATATCCGCATAATTATTCTGCATTGTATTACAGATTTTACCAGGTCTACCACTCAGAGCTACGCTGTGTGACTGTCAGTGTTGGTCATCATGGTATGTTAACACATGTAATTAATGGCAAGGGTGGGAGCTATAGCTCATTAAAATTTTTAAAAAGCCAATTAGAAAATATAGAATATGTAGTTTTAAATAAGTATTTTATAAAATGTCTTATTGCAGTTTTATAAGTTTAATTGCAGTTGGATAAACACATTTCAAAAACTGATCAAATACCTAGGCATGTGCTCAAGGCACTCAAGCAAATAAAGGTTATTTACTGTAATGTGTTTACAGCTTGAGAGGCAAAGAAAATTAGTGGACAAAATGATGACAAAGTTAATAGGCTCTATTAACTTTTGTGTCTCATATCCACTAACAATCTCCAACTCTTATCCGAAGGGATTTTATGTAACTGTTGGTCTTTAAACTTTTATTTTTCTTGTTGTTTTTCAAATGTCCTTTTCCAGAGGCCAAAGTGACTTGCAATGAAACCACAATTTCTGTGGAGGTGGAGAAAACCTACCTCGTTAAGAGCAATGAGGACATTTTGCATTTAAATGACTTCACAGACTCCTCATGCAACTTGAACACACTTTCCAACTCTAGTCACTTGGTTGCTGTCATGCCACTGGGCAGTTGTGGAACCCTTGTGCAGGTACTAAACATACTAAACATAGTTAGCAACATTTATGTAAGTGGGAAAGGACGATCTGGCAACAATCTTGGAGTCAAGAGTTTGCAATCCAAGAAGGGGTCTTTTTAATTAAATATGTTGGAAATTAATATTATATAGTCTTAACACAAAAGGAGACACATCATCACACTGTTACTGCCCCAGGATTAGTTCATATACACTAACACATGTTTTATTCTTCTTATATAAAACCATCTACTTAATTTATGTTTTCTTTAATTCTTAATGTCATGTCATTTTCAGGAGGATGATGACAACATTATCTTTACCAACGTGATCACATCTGCAGATAAAAGTAAGATTGTTTCCAGGCAGCATGACGTCGAGATAGCATTTTCCTGCTCGTTTCCCAAGCGAACCAACCTCACTCTGGGATATAGACACAAAAACCCATACGCCTTTGATGAGAGGGGCTTTGGTACTTTCACCTTCCAGTTTGAGTTCTTTGAGAGCCAGCGTTTCAGGAAGCAGGTTGACTCCAGCAGCTACCCAGTGGAAGTTTACCTCAAGCAGATGATCTACATGCAGATCGAGGCGACCACATCCATCCCCAACACTGAGTTGTTTGTGGAGTCCTGCAGGGCGACTCCCTACGACAACCCCAACTCCCGCATCAGCTACACTATCATTGAAAATGGGTACTGGGAAAAAGCTATTTTACTGACAACTTAGACATCAAAATTGACTACTTTTATTTTGTTTACCAAGTTAAACTTTTTCTCACTTCTTGTAGGTGTGTGAAGGAAGAAACAACACAAATCTACCCCAGCTCCAAGTCCCAGTTCAGATTTGGACTTGAGGCTTTTGAGTTCATCGGTGCTCATCAGGAGGTAAGGCTTAACTCTAAGAAAGATTAAATTGACCGTCTTACACCTATTTGAGGTCTGCACAAAAACCAAACCCTGAAATACGACTCCTTTTGAATCTTAAGCTTGTTATGCAAGATCTCAGCATCTTAACACTGGTATTTGGGATGTATAATGATCTAATCCCTCACCCAACTTAGCTACTCCCTTTCAAAGATGAGGAATGGCCACTCTGAAGTTAATTAGAAGGAAAGAGATTTTAAGGATAGCTCTAACTCATAATATTCATCCACATTAATGTGAACATTTTGTTTAGTCCTGATCTGTATGAATGTACATGTGCTTCTAATTACAAAGTTTTACCTGCAGACAACCCCCTTAAATTATGAATCTTTGTCCTGCCATGAGGTATATAAAACTTAAAGCTTTAAAGTTTAGACTGGACTATCTTGCTGCGACCTCCGCCCCTCATTCAGTGTACGCTTTTTTGCTTAGCAACCGTTACAGATGACACACAACGCAGGATAAGAATGGATGTCAAACTTCTCATAACTGTTCTGAGTTCTAACAACGTTTTTGAGGAGCTTCAGCGCCAGTACCGTCATCTCAGATATCAGATTTATAGTCCCCACCCTGCAGAGATATTGAAATCTGTGCTCAAATGTCAGGCAAACCCATTTACTCAGGAACGGATAAAACCTTTCAGTAAACCAAACATTATCCGCCACATATCTGACTTAATAATCAATAACATATTTTCATGAATTCAGAGGGAATTATTCACACACTTGTATTATATTAAACCACACTTCCAATAGTCACAACTGTTCAGCAGCATTTTTCTTTTTTTTCCTCTGAGTGTGGAGCAGCCTGCTTTCTTGGACTCGCAATGAATCATGGCATATTAAGGGCTATGTAGAATACAGCGGACCTTTCCTTCAAAAGATGCAAAAAGAAGGCTGCATAACAAGGAGTTTTCCAATCCGAAAAGGCATCGGCGAACTTTACTGATCTCAGATTGGAGATATTTACCTCTGCATTTAACCCATCCCCTTGGGGAGCAGTGGGCTGCCATTGTGCGGCACCTGGAAAGTAGCGTAGGGTTAAGGGTCTTGCTCAGAGACCCAGAGTTGCAGTCTGTGGGAGTGGGGCTCAGACTCAGAACCTCTGGGTTCCAAGCACAATCCCCTAACCAATAGGGCCACCACTTCCCCCAATCGAGGCCGACGAATCTCGACTTTGCAGGACGCCGTGGCTGGATTCAAACTCAGCAATAGTGTTAAGAAGCAAGTTAAGACACAATTTGACAGCAAGCCTGTCAGGGTTTGGTTGAGGTTTGAGGACACAGATGCAGAGGCAGAGAGGCTAAGGAGATTTCTTGCAGTTCTTTTGATGAAAAAGCAGAAAACAAAGGCAGGAATCCAAAAATCCAATTAATAATGTAAATCACGAGGAGCCATGGTGGAGAAGAGGGAGGTAGACAATAGCATGGTAAGACAGCAATGACAAGGAACCAACAAGGAGTGACAGCAGAGGGAGAGTATAAATAGCTGACTGAGACAATGGCAGGGTTAACGAGCTGTCAAGGAGCAGGTGGGAGAGGAGATAACGAGGGTGCCAAGGGGAAAGGAACACACACACAAGAGGGCAACAAAAAAAATGAGAAATAACATAAATGTAGAAATTACAATAAAACAGGAATTAAACCAATAAAATTAGAAAACAAGGAGCAAAGTAAAATACAACAGAAACAAGACCATGACAAAGCCTAGATGTGCAGCAAACATTTATCATCACCTTAGTGCTTGAAAAGAGGCCTAATACACCAATGGTCCCCTTTTTTCAGGTCTGTCTGTTTGAAAACACAATCAAAGAAAAAAGTAACCGCCTGTTTTTAAAACAAAAATGCTAAATTTGTATTTTTGAAAAAAAAAAAAACATTGTCTCTAAATTTTCATTTAGTTATTTAAAAAAAAAAGCTAAAAGAGACTGTAAAGGCATTTTTATGGTGATGATTTAACAATTTGTCTTTCGCCTGTGTGGTTCTACAGGTCTACATCACCTGTTCAGTTCTCCTGTGTGAGACCGGCTTTCCTGGAACTCGATGCTCCCAGGGATGTATCAGGTCTGACTCACTGAACAATCGCAGAAAGAGGGATGCTCCAGCTGAAACGAGCAGTCACTCCATTTCCCAGGGTCCTTTGCGTCTCGTTAAGACTTCTGATACCAAAGGTGAGAGTTCAAATGCAGTCAGTCAATAATTACACAGAACAAGAAAGAAAAAAGTTATTCATAATTCTTTTTGTTAATGCAATCGTTTGGCATTAATAATATTTCAGTATTTTTGCTAACTTCACATCTGTTGGGAATATTAAGATTATTGATCAAATATATTCAGAATTATTTGAATATAGCTTATATAAAAACACCAGACTTTGCTCAGTTTCTTTGAAAACTACTTAATGCCTGTCCAGCAGTCTTTGTTCATTCAGTTGGCTCACACTACAGAGTAGGCTTGTCCCGATCCAATCCACGTATCGGATCGGACGCCGATATTGGCAAAAAAATGCTTATCGACAAAGCATGTAAAAATGCCGATCCAGACTGCCGATCCAGTTTTTAAAAAATAATCTGGTCCATATTTTCCAGTTTCGCTGATTGAAACAATCCATTCCACTATTTTGCGCCAGTGTTCCCCGAATCCGGTCCGTATTTTTTCAGAACACCTTCAACACACCCACAGGTCTTTTTGGGTCTGTCTCCCGGCCTAACCATTAAAACAGTTGAATTGGAAGATAGCGGGGAAAATGTCAGCCGTGTGGGATTATTTTATCCTGCACGATGTGTAGATGGAGACTAGGTGTGGAGGAGATTGGGGAGTATAAGGCATTTTTGTGTAACTATTATTTGCACTGATTTTTTTAAGCAGTGTCTTTTTTCAAGAGTAGAGTCCTGATTCTAAGTTAAGAGACTATTTTCCACTCCTGTGTGTTTTGCATTTTTATTAAAACTTACAGTAATATAGCACCTTTAACTGTTTACGGTTTTACTGCTCACTGTGCAATATTAGATTGCTATTCATAATTTTGTCCAGTTTGTGTTTATCTCTTAATAAACAGGTAAGTTTGTTGTTACCAATCATTGTGTTTTATTCAATCTCACCTAATTCAGCTGGCTAGATGTTATCAAGAGTACTAAAACCCTTTTCAACATGAGTCTTACAACTAAGGCTAAATGTTGGAGTCTTTTTTGTGTGTATGGCCGTTTCTCTGACACTTTCTTTTCTTAATGGTAGATCTTACAAGTTTGATTCTTAATATCTTGACATTTCAGGGTCTGACCTAAGCCTGAATCTGAGTCTGAACCAAGTCTTGCTGATTGGTAGCGTCCTGGTACTTGGAGCAGTCATCTACTGGAAAAGAAGACCCAGAACTGAATACCAACTGCTGCCGACTTCTGAACAACAATAACTCTGATGTTTTCTTAAGTTTCTTTCTTGTAAAAACTATTAGTGGTTTTAAAGGGGAGATTTTTAATTTTTCAAAACTGAATCATGAAAGTCCTTATTCACTGAATGAGCTCTGGTTTATTAGATACACATCTTCTTTTCCTGCAATCCAAATACTCTGTGATCGTGCAGATTTTATTGTGTTACTCTAACTAAGTTTTTGGTAATAGTAATGCTATCATTCATTTAAGACAGGTTCCTGGTTTTATGACATTTAAATTTGCTTGTCCGAAATTCTGAATTTCTTTTTCTTTTCTATTTTTGGTTTCATTGTTTTATCAACCTCTGTATTCATTCATTTATTCCTAATTAACTTGGGTGTGGAAATACAAAATATATAAAACTGACCAAGTTGTGTATTTTGTTTTCTTTTTATTTCTTCAAGTTTTTAGTATACCTGAATTAGTTATCTCAATCCTTGTCCTTTAAACGATTTTGTGATCTTTGCTGTACTATGTAATTCATAACTGTGGCGGTCTAGCATAGTTTCAGGTATGAATGAAAAAATGTATATGCTTTAAAACCGGCTAAATACTTAGATCTTCACTCCTTGCCTAGTAGAGAATGACACGGGAGTGAATTTTCACTGCTGTCCCGTCCCACTCCCACAGAAAAAAATTGTGTCCCGTCCCGATCCCGGGCCAGAGTACAAATCTAAATCCTGTCCCGTCCCACTCCTGGTGAAATCACCCCTACTCCCATCCCGCTCCCATTCAGAATGACTCCCGCTCCTGCACCACTCCCATTCTTGTTTTTTTTTTTTTTGAGTGCGGGTGAAAAACTCAGAGCGGAAGCACTGTTGGTTTTTGGGTCGTGTAGTTTTTTTGACTCGCATTATAGTGTAGGCTTCAAGGAAAAAAAACTACAAAATGGCGGCGCCAGTACTGGATTTTTTTTCTTTCTATTTTATTGTATTTTTTGGCATCGATCCTAGTTTTTTTAGTTACAATTGGTTTGCTCCCACTCCCGTCTGCTCCCGTTAATGTTTAACCCTGTACCGTCCCAATCACGTGATGGTTACTAATACTGACTCCCATCCCAAGGGAATCCCTTGACCCATTGGATTCCCAAAAAAATGTCAGTCTCTATTGCCTAGGTCCGCTACAGATAAACCTTGACTAGTGTGAGATTCATTTTCATTCTTAGATATATTTACACCATATTCTAACATGGTTGTGTATGTATGCGCTGAAGTGCATGGCAACGTGTGTCGCCTCATGGCTTGTGTGGAAACTATTTGGAGTATGTGTTTGTGTTTTGGCTAGGCTACTTCCATCTGTATGTGTGTCTAATAGCCTCATGTGCTCGTAGATGTCTGTGTGCTTTGTCCCGTTAGTGTGCTGGATGCTTGTGATCTAGAGACCTGACAATAGGAGAAAATGTTCTGATTGGGTGACACATTGCATCAAACGGGAAGCTCAAAACCTCCCCAAAAAACACAAGCATAGTCAACTCTGCGTGGACCTTCGAAAAGCCATCCTACTTTTGGCAAAAACATTTCTCCTCACATCTGCTTTCCATCAAGCTGGCATTGTTTCTGTGTATGCAACTGTTTTCCTGCCTAAACATTTAAGACTCTGTTTCTCTTCATATTACCAACAAAGAAAGAGGTCTAAGCGTTAACACGGCTTTAAATAATCTCACTGCTACATCCCCCGTATTTCAATGATATATACTAACTAAGTGCACTTACTTGTGTGAAGATAAAACATGAAAAGTAAAATATTAATGGTAATGTCACAAACTCATAATGATATGTCGGAAGATATAACATTTTAAATAAAATCATTAATGTATATGTGATTACTGAAAACTAAAGTAAGTACGACTGGACACACGGAGTGAGATCATCATCTTCCACCTTGTTCAAAATTCGATCAGTATGGGATCTAAAACATCTCCTTCACCAGAAGGCAGACATGTTCACAAGTCATTTTTTGCAAGTCCAAGTCAAGTCTTGAGAGCTCAAGTCCAAGTCAAGTCTGAAGTCTTGAGAAGGCCTGTCGCAATAATCAATTAAT